ATACGGCTTTCTTTTGGTAGAGATTCCATCTTGTATTGTGGGAGTAATACAGTGATTGAGTTGGGTGGTTGTAAGAGGCAGAAAAGTGCGCCACTCGTTATGCTGCGCCACTCGTTATGCAACTACGTTAGGTATATTTCCCAAACCTTCCCTTAACCGCACTCACCACGATCATCGACAACTTAAATACCCTTCATTATCCATCATCCGCTCAAAACCCAGCAATATCACCCAGCTCAATATTCGGAACAATATACGGCTTAGGCCCCTTCGCCCGCACCTGCGTCTTCTGCTCAAAAGCGTACGCCAAAGCAAGCAACTTCTCCTCCGAGAACTTGCTTCCCAAGAAGCTCAGTCCGAATCTGCATTTCCTGTCGGTCAGCACCACCCTTCTCCATCTCATCATCACTTCACTTAAGAAAGAACTCACGGCATATTCGGCCCCTGCTGCACCAACCCCCTCCCACTGACCGTAACATTCCAACTCGCCGGATAGAACCCCAACGGCACAGTCACGATCGGCGCGCCCTGTATCGCTGCCCTACCCGCCGCCTGACTCGTAGGCATGATGACCGCATCTAACTTATTCCTTTCCACCGCGCCCAGCAACCCGCCTTCCCCACCCCAGTAATAATTTTTCTGCAGTTCCTGCCAAAACCTGATATCTGTGTTATTGTACCCAAGCGCCAGGGCCGCGTCCCAGGTGGCTGTGTTCCGGTCCGGGTACATCTCACCCGCAAAAGTCTGTGTGAACTTGCGCACGTCGGCTAGAGTGTGCAGGTTGTGCGGGTTGTGGGTGAGCTGAGAGAGGTACGCGGCCAGGTCGGAGACGAAATCCGCGCCGAGGACGATGGATGTCGTGGCGGGGTTGGGGACGGTGAAGTTTGCGGAGATGATCTGCGCACCCTCTTTCTTCATGGTCTCGACGGCGGCGTAGAAGGCGGTCATTTCGATGCTGCTGGCGGAGGGGCTGAGGGCGTTGTAGGGGATGCCGATGCGGGCGTTCTTTAGGGCGCCTGGTTTCAGCGCCGCGAGGTAGTTGGGGATTTTGCCGTTGTTGGGGATGGCGGAGGTGTAGTTGTCGTGGCAGTCCCGTCCCGCGATGGCTTGCAGGATGATGGCGGCGTCTTTGACGGTGCGCGCCATGGGCCCGATGGTGTCTTGATGTGAGCTGATGGGTACAACGAGGTACCGTGAGGTTAGGCCGACGGTGGGTTTTACCCCGACGAGGTTGCCGCGTTGCGAGGGCGAGACGATGGAGCCGGATGTCTGTGTGCGTGTTACTTTCTGGCACTTGATTTGCAAGGAATATGGAGGTCAGGGGACTAACCTCGGTGCCGAGAGCGGCAAGAGCCAGGCCGATGGACGAAGCGACGCCACTACCGCTGGAGCTGCCGCTGGGGTCTTGGTTCGGGTAGTAGGCGCCGGTGACCTGTCCGCCGTATGCAGACCAGCCGTTGGAGGAGTTGCTGCTGCGGTAGTTGGCCCATTGACTGAGATTGGCCTTGGCCACGATGATGGCACCGGCTTGGCGCAGTTTGGCTGCCATGGTGCTGTCGCGGGGGACCTTGGCGCCGACAAGGGCGAATGATCCGGCCGTGTTGTTCATCTTATCGGCCGTTGCGATGTTGTCCTTGATGATGATGGGGATGCCGTGCAGAGGACCCAGCGTCTTCCCCTTGGCGCGCATTGCGTCCAGGTCGGTCGCGATGGCGAGGGCGTCTGGGTTCACCTCATTGATGGCGTGGAGGATGGGGTTGACCTGGGCGATGCGGGCCAGGTAGGCTTTGACCAGGTCAACACTGGTGAAGAGGCCTTTGTTGAGGCCCTTCTCCAGGTCCTCGATCGTGACATCAATCAAGCTAGGGAATTGCTCGCCCTTGACTGTGCACCTTGTAAGTCTAATGTCTGGTGAGTGGTGACGGATGCACAAAGGACCGAAACACACCTGATAAAGAGCAGTTTGCCGCGGCCAAGCTAGCGATGCCGAGCCAAAGGGCTGATGCCGTGCTTATGAGCCTCCATGTCGTGAGCCTTGCCATGATGCCCTGTTGGATTCTTCCCTAAGTTCCCTTGAGGTCGGACTTGATGTCTCGACGTTGAATCTTAACTCTCGGATCCAGGTTCACAGGGTCGTGGCATCCGAGTTATATAGATGCAAGACCGTCATCAGTCAACACGTGTGTCGTTATACTCCCCAACGAAAGGCGCCTTAGGCGCGGGGCCGATAACACCATTGCGTCCCATTAAACCGGTTGCCGGGAGGTCGGGTCAATAGCCCCAGGGTGAATGTTTGGATCATCCCGGCATTTCGCGTGGGATGGCTGGTGCCAAGACAGGGGAAGTGGAACCCGTCACGGCCCCTCATGATAAGGATCGAGGTGTTCCCGGCACCTATCCGTTGTGCTGGGTCCCGTCGGGAGCCCGCCGATATCCAAGCGAAGCCCGTTTTGGAAGCCCGAAAGAGTCGGGTATAAGTTGGTACTAGTATTCCCGGCTTCTTGAGTTAGTAATGGCAATGCTATCAATTAGGCGCTGCTAGTGTAGAAATGGCGAGATAGGTCCATAGCAGCTAGCGGGCCTGATAGGCAGCTGAGAAAGGTCTTGAGAACGAATTCGATGTTCTATGATCAGCCAAAATTGCATCCACAGCGATATGGACATATAAGCCAGGCTGACAAATACTGAACCCTTCACCCTCCCAATGCTGAACCTAACAGTACCTTACATATTGATTGCAGCACCCACTAGGCAAGATAACTTAGGTACCTACCTACCTACCTTAACTATCTGTATGCACCTACATAGGTAATTTGATTGTAGCTGATTGTGGTCAATTATGGTACCAGGTAAGGCTGGTACCGATGAAGGGAAGGTACAAAAGCTTCCAGTTCAGTCCAGTCAATCATGGATACCAGGTAGGTACCTATCTTTAACATATACCAGCAGACACTTGACCTCAATTGCTGATTAGAGCACATCTATCCGTACCTCATGTCCTTATCCAAAGGTTACCGGAAATGAATGATTATTGTCATCATAGTCGCTGTGGACCATCCGGAAATATGGATATAAGATTGAGTATCTCCATCGACATGTAAGTCTAGGTAACTACAGCGATAAGGACCAGCTTTATATAACATGGAGGTATTAGCTTGGGTCTCCCTGCTAGTAATTACATCCCTGGAGGCAACGGCAGTCAGTACGTACATTACGCCACCGTCAATGCTCTTGAAAGCACTTTCACCCCAAAGCTGACATGCCCATCTCTTCCGTGCAGGTGGTACACCAACCAAAACCAGTTCTTCCGCCAAATCAGAAACTTCGTCATTGACCTCACGGCCATGCCCAACAACAACACGTCGAGCGACCAGACGTATGTGCCTTGTGGCATCCACTGGCAGGTTGCCCAGTCGACCTCACTGCAAAACATCAACGTGGTTATGCCCCTGGGCGGGGGTACCACTGCCGTGGGCATCTTCACTGAGAATGACTCGTGGGGCTTCATGAGTGACCTGACCTTCTTCGGGGGGGGGCAACATCGCCATGCGCGTTGGCAGCCAGCAGTTCACCTCACGGCATATCACCATAACCCTCCCAGCCATTGCGGTTTCCATGATTTGGGACTGGGGATGGACTTGGTGCGTATCTGTTTTAGCCCCTGAATTACCCCCTGAATCAACCCTGAACCTTTCGAAGCTTGAAGCCGACTTACACGGCTTGGTGTACTGTACAGACAAGATATCACCGTCAACGCAGGCTTCATCGCCTTTGACTGCACCAACTTTGGCGGCGACGGTTTAAAAGGCACCGGAAGCCTCACCCTAATCGACTCACACTTCACCTCGGTGCCTTTCGCCATCACGGTGTCCCCGGACAAGCGCCCCGCCATCACCATCGAAAACCTACTCATCGAAGACAACACGCCTTCAGTAGTACTCGTAAGCGGCGGCGAGACAATCCTGGCCGGCGTGAGCGGCGGGTCGGCAACCATCAATTCATGGGCCATGGGGCCGCGTTACACGGCCGCGGACGGGTCCGGATCCTACGTCACAGGTGAAATCAACCCCCGGCCCTCCAAGCCGCCGGTCCTACTCGCCCGCGGCTCAGGCAAGTTCTTCACGTGGTCCAAGCCTCAGTACGAGAACCTCGGCGCCGACTCGTTCATTAGCGTCGCCGACTTTGGGGCGACTGGCGACGGCACCGGCGACCAGAGCGGCGCCATCAACAGCGCTCTGGCTGCCGCCAACGGGAGGATCGTCTTCATCCCCTCGGGCGTGTACCCGGTCGCCTTTACTGTGAACGTGCCGGTGGGCTCGCGGATCGCGGGCGAGTCCTGGCCACAGATCCAAGGCTGGGGCGCCACGTTTGGCGACGCTTACAACCCGCAGCCTGTCGTCAAAGTTGGAAATCGGGGGGATGTTGGCAACATTGAGATCTCGGACATGATGTTCACCATCAGAGGTCCCACCCCCGGCGCGGTTCTGGTCGAGTGGAATGTCCGCGAAGCCTGCCAAGGGTCGGCCGCCATGTGGGACTCGCACGTCCGTATTGGCGGCAACGTGGGATCAGACCTGCAGTATGCCAACTGCCCTGCAGCAGCATCGGCTGACAGCAACTGCTTTGCCGCCGCCTTGATGATGCACATCACTCGCGGGGCGTCGGGCTACTTTGAGAACGACTGGTTGTGGAGCGCAGATGATGATCTCGACATGGCGGTCCAGTCTCAGATCAGTGTCTTCACGGCCAGGGGTCTGTTGGTCGAGACGGACGGACCCGTGTGGCTGTGGGGAGGAGCGGTCGAGCACGCGACTCTGTATCAGTACAACTTCTACAAGGCCTCCAACGTGTTCGCGGGGCACATACAGACCGAGTCGCCATACTACCAGTCAACGCCCAACTCGGTCGATGTGTTTCCCCTGCGCGTCTATGCCAGCGACCCCGATTTTGCAGACTGCCGCCCCACGGACAACCAGTGCCTCCTCGCATGGGCGCTCATGATCCAGAACTCGACCGACGTGCTGATCTACGGCGCCGGGCCGTACAGTTGGTTCCAGAGCTACCGCCAGGGGTGTCTCGCTGGCGAGGATTGCCAGTAGCGCCTGATTTTAACCACCTTCTCGGAGCGCGTCTGGATCTTCAGCGAATACACCAACGGCGCCACCGAGTGTGTCTCGCTACTGGGCGGCATCCGCGCGGCGCAGCAGGGCAACAACAGGAACGGCTTCCTCACCGCCATCAGCGCCTGGCTCTCCCTAGCCCTCACCGGCCGCGCAAGTATCGGCGGTTACGCCGAGGTCAGCGACCACCCCACCCCGGACAACCTGCCGCCCGTCAGCAACTCCAACCTCACCTTTGCATGCGGCAACATCCAGTGCGGACAGACCATGACTCTCTCCGCCCGTTGCGCCAGCGCCATCGAGAAGCCTTCCCACCTCAGGCGCCAACAACCGGCCTCCTGGCCCCGCCAACTGCCAAGAAACATGCGACCTGTACCGGCTCGTCACCGGAACCTGCTGCGGCACCGGCGGATCAGCCTGCTTCGGCATCTCCATCCCCGCCGGCCAGCCGCTCCTCGCGCCACTGCCCATCCCCTCCGGCTTCAACCCCGGCCCCTCCGTAACCTGGACCGCGCCAGGGATCGACGCCACAGGCGGGCCCACCACCAACTCCTCATACGACTCCGACGACCCCAACGACCACGACATCTGGCTGCCACCACTCTGGATCCCCATTCCCCTCGGCGCAACGCCAGTTATCCTCCCGCCGCCCATCGACCTGCTCGACAATGACCCGGACGGCTGGCTGCTACTCGAGGACGAGACAGACGCCAACAGCTGGGAAGACACAGGCGAGCCCGTAACACCCCCACCACCACCCACCACCACCAGCGGCCCGCCGGTATACACCCCCCCGCCGGCGGGCCCGTTCGTGGTTCTGATACCGAGCGGGGGCAATTTCGACTGCCACACGGACGTGTCCTAAACCGACCTGATCCCTTGCCTGGCGCGGGGCTTTGTCGGGTTCGACGATAACACCATCTACAGCTCGCGCGACGAGTCGCTCTGTCGCGGGGTGGGCGGGGTGACGCTTGAGGGGCTTCCGATCGGGAGCTACTGCACGCTGTTTACCTCGCCGGGGTTGCTCGGTGGTATGGGGGATTTCGAGTTCTTGGGGCAGCGGGCCGAATTATCGGTTCAGGGGGTCGGATTTGCATGACTTTTTGAATGCGGCGCAGAATAGCTGTGGGAGTGGACCGGCTGCAGCGATTCGGACCACGAGTAGGAACCCGAATACGGCGCCGTTTGGGTGGGAGATGAGTTTTTGTCTGGTGCATGACGGCCAGGAGGCGGCGTGCGGGACGAATCAGGGGTTTCCGAGGCCATGAATTGAAGCTCCTTCTGGGGAGAGTGTAACCAAGCCTTGAGTAGTAGCTATTAGGCGTATTATATGAAGCGTCCCTGGCAAAACGGAAATCCTGAGCAATGTTCGGTTAACATGAGATCGGGAGATACAGTATCATTCCCTTAACGGTCAGAAGATCATTTGATTGCATGCGTCCCACAATCACTGATACTTCCCTTCATAGAAGTTGCCTGAGTCATGCCCACAAAGCCAGCTCATAGACATCCCCCTTGTTCTCCTTTCTTCGGGCCCCGCATCTCATCATCATGTCCTCCGTCCTCTTCCATCTGACGGGCCAATTCAGGTCCAAGATCAATGGTCCTCGCACCCGTCGCTTCCAGCGGTTTCCTCAACAGCATCGCAATGGAAAGAGTACTAGGTAGACTGGGGAAAGAGTACTAGGTAGACTGGTCCCGCAGGACAACCTGCCTGCACCAAAACAGGGTGAGCCCAACCGCTAAAGCCAGCCCAACCAAGATGCCCGAAAGAATGCCAAACACTCTGTCCCACCTGACCTCGAGTGCAGGAGTCAGGAAGGGCGCCTCCGAGTTCCCCTCGTGTTTGGCCATCCGTGGCACCCTTTGCTCTGCCTCGAGAACGGCAAGAACGGGAGGGCGTGCGGCTATCTCGGCAGCCATGATTCCTTGTTCCTTGGTGATGAATAATATGTGGGAGTTGTTGGTTGTCTCCATGTCAGTATCCTTACCGACTTGGAACCCCTGCATCAGCCCACTCACGCCCGGTCGCATGGAATAGGACCGGAAGTAAATCGTAAATCTCGGTGGCATTATCGGACGACTCTCGCTGGGAAAGGGCATGGACGGGAACATGTAGAGCAGGGAACCGGGCAAGCTGGCGAGAATACCAAGGAGACATCCTAGCCGGTAGTCCTGGGAACGACTGGGGGGGGTGCCAGTGCCGGTGTGCCGGACATGTTTGGCTCCGTCACTGAGGCGCGTCGAACATTCTTACAAGACACCCATTACATTTCTGAAGTTCGAGTCGGGTTCGAGCTCCGGCACGGTCATACAAGAAGCCCAAGCCTGCGCTTCAACTGTGATGGGACCCAAAAAGATAACTGGCGTGAATTATCAGTATCGGAATAAACAGTCCACAACAAGCAAAGAAGGCACTTACACATCGTCGCACAAACTAGGTGTCATCAGCGACGAGTCGAGCATACCAGCAGTTCCTGTGAGTTTGGGTGGAGTAATGCATACGCACAGTCGCACCTTTGATCACGCGATTGTGCGCATGTCACATGTGTCAACTCACGAAGGCAACGTCAATGCCAAGCAACGCGCTCTCTGTGACTCGGGGAAGGCTACGGTGAGAGGGCAGGGTGAAGAATCCGTGAAACAGGACAATGTGCACGCCAGAACGGAAAGCGCCATTGGAACCTTTGATTTCAATCTTTTTCAACCACAGCCAGAGCTCGGGCCACCGAGTATATACCGTACCTGCCAAAGTCTCTTTGCAGCTTGGGATCTCCAAAGGGGCACCCGATTCACGGTTGCACACCTACGATGGCCTGGAACTGAAGAAAGCACTGAAGAATTGGGTGTATGCATTGTATTGTAGGTGGTTGGAGGGTTGAAGGAGGGAAAAAGAGCCAACCCCCAGTGCCCCAATAAATACAGGGTTTCCCAGGGTTCCTCCTTCCCACAGTCCCATTCAGTTTCTGCCAATGCCCTACCGCCGGCTGGGGAGAGCGAGAGCGCACGATCGTGGAACTTATGGTCAATCAACCCCCATTCTATTTCTTGCTCTAACCATTCAACATGCGCTTATTACCTCGTCTCGATGCCAAGTATATTCTATCCCAAATCGGGGACGGGCGTCGTTGGCTACTTGGCGTGCTTGTCCTTGTCCTTGTCCTTGGCCTTGCCGCCGTTGGCAGCCTTGTTGGCGGGGTAGGCTTTTGATTCCGGACATTCCTTATTGCCACAATCCACCTTCTTCTTCTCTGTGAATCGAGAAAAACATTGGCCTGCGACAGTGCTAGCGGTCCACGATTGCGTGAAGTCTAGCGTGAAGCACCTATCAATCACGAGCCTTAGTCAGCATGATATTCCCGGGCCCACTCCCACTACTACACTAGGCCACTGCCATATCACTCTAACTTACATGATGACTCCCGGCGATCTTAATCTGCGGGATGTTGAAATCTTTGTTAGAAGAGTGGTAGCGGCGGCGCGAAGAGCGGAATGATGGAGAATTGTCGATGTCGGATTTTGGTGTTGGGGTAAGTTCTGGGGAGGATTTGACTTTGGTGTGGCGGCGCGTGGTGATTATATCTTGGGCCGCAACAAGACGGCAGCTCGGGTTGTTGCTTGGAGTACCGCTCCAACGGCCCCTTGACTCGCAAGTTCCGAGCTCATCGGCCAGCAAGCCGCGGGAACCTCCCTTGGAAAGCATGGCTAAGAAAAGCGAGCCATCAGGTTTGAACTTGAAACACTCCGTCATCCTTCCTGATGCTGCCCGTGAGTCACTCAGGCCGGTAACGCTTGCAGAGCTGTCACCCTTTAGTTACCCGGCGTTTCCTTTCATCATTCCTCTTAGGTAGTAGGTCGGGTCCGGTGAAAACGGGCCATTGAGCCTCTCTTTGTTCGGGGTTCATGTTCCCGGGCTGGCACAATACCTAGTCAGGTTCCAGTTTTTCCGCAGCCAAGAATGTGATGATGGATTCATGGCTTCCATGTTTAGATTTGAGAACGGGGCCAGACCAGCCCTTGGAACAGCAATAACTTATGGGCCTGTCTTTCGTCTTTGCCAGCCACGCGCACCCAGTTTGACCAATAGCCCCAACCCTTCCTCTTAGGTAGGTCGGGTGAAAACGGGCTATTTAGCCTCTCTTTGTTCGGGGATTTTGGGCTGACACAATCAAATTCCAGTTTTTCCGTGGCTGAGAATGTGATGGGGTTTTTTTTTTCTGAGTTGACGACGGGGCCAGACTAGCCCTTGGAACAGCAAGAACTTATAGGCCTATCTTTCGTCTCTGCCAGCCACCCGACGCGCACCCACTTTAACCAACAGTCCTAGCCCTTCCATATCCAGGTACTCTGGCCTCCATACCTAGGTGATTTCCCTTCCGGAGTTCCCTCTTCCTCCTCCATCTTCCATCATCAACCCTTCCACGGCCCGCTACTTTGGACAAGATGCCCAGGCCAGTCATCAGCAGCAAGGACGACGTCGTGGCCGTTGACTTCCACGATCGCAAAGGCAACTCCGTGTGTTCTCTGTACTATCGCTGGGAGCTGGGCGACGCCGACGAAGAGGACGAGCTCTACTACGCGCGCATGCCCGGCGACAAGTCACAACATGCAATCCAGCAAATCAATGCCGCGCTCGAGAAGATGCCTGCCGAGCGCATCTTCTTCCCGCTCCCCATTCCCTGGCCCCGTTACCAAACGCGCGTCACAGTTGCCTCAACGCCGCATGCGGAGCCCGAAGACGGTATCTTCTTGAAGAGGCCGTGGTTACTCGACCTCGATTACCCCCAGATCACGAACAGGCCAGAAGCTCTTGCCATGATGTTCGCCGATGAAGTCCGCGTGCTCGAGCGTCTCTCGCGTTTCCCGCCGCACCCCAACATCGTGCAGTACCACGGTTGCCGTGTCCGCAAGGGTCGCGTCACGGCCATCCAGCTCGGTCGCGTCGAGGGCAGCAGCCTGGCGATACACATGCGGTCAGGCCGCCCAGTCGACAAAGCGGCCATCCTGGCAGGGCTTACGTCGGCCGTGGACCACCTCCACCGCGTCGTCGGCATCGCGCATAACGACATCTCGCCCATGAACATCATGGTGTCGCCCGATGGGCGTATCCCCACCCTCATCGACTTCGGCTCGGCCGACTTGCTAGGCGCCGAACTCAGCCACCGCCCCTTCGGTACCTTTGGCGAGGATCCCCTGGACCTTGACGAGAAAACCCTCTATGACGGCCCCAGCGGAGATCCCACGTCCCGCAAGTCAAGAGATCTCGCAAGCCTAAAGAGGCTGGCCGTCTGGCTTGATGACCCTCAGGCTGTCGACTCGGTGTGCCCGGAGGCTCACGCGTGCGCCGACGCCAATTCCCCCGCAGCGGATTCCAACTCTGACACATGCCACGACGCCGGCGAGATGAAAGAGGCGAGGCGACCTGTGAAGCGGAAGCTAAGCGCCGGGGATACCTGAGAGCAGTGCCAGGCCAGATTCATCAATGTGCACACTGGCCGTGTCTCTCACTGCCCGTAGGCCGGGACTTTTGAGGTTCCAGCTGTCTTGGTTGGGCGAAAATGCCAGATGGGGTTTTCGCTTCCTTCTGGAGTTTTGTGGAAAAGCTGTGCCCGGGGCGTAGTACGGCGGCGGCGTAGTTTATTTTGGTTCGCTGGGGAAAAGAAAATACTGTAAGTACCTAAAGTAGTATGGCTTTGGGCAGAAGCTTTAAACATGGTCTATGGAGTTAGTAGTTTTCTGAGTACGAATTACAGCATGAGTTGGTGAGAATTAGGTACCCATTGAAGAAGTTGGCGGACAGCTGTCAATGGGCCATGGCTGTGAGTGACATTTGGCATCAATGTGTGCATGTTTCCTATTACATACACGCTTCCAGTAGTTGCTGTCGAATACTCAAGCTACTGGCGCTTTCACCCCTACTCTCGCCCACATCCATCCTGGAGCCCAGACCATGCAACCAACCTCAGGTACAGTACCTAGCCAGCTGGGCATGCTCAAGAAAAGCGTTGCGACTGGCGACTCTAAAGTGCAGCCGCCTTCGCGATAACGGCATCTATTTTCGCCATCGACTCGTCATACCACTGACGACCACATGGCCCTCCAGCTCGAATCCTGTACCGGACTGACATACAATCCTCGGCCAAAAGGCCACCCTGGCCGTAGTAAGACGCTGGACCTGCTGCAGCGGTCCTAAGTCGTCCAATCGTACAGGAGGCAAATCAGGTATAGTACTAGTAGGCACCTTAGCTTGCGGGACATTGTCTTGGGTCGATGGTGAGGGCGACTCAGGCTGGCTCTTTGTCGGTGTCGATTTGAGACGAGTATCGCCCTACTTGAGCCCTTCCCGGCCACCGAGGATTTCCGCCAACTTCAATGGGTCGCTTAGGTACAGTTTCTTCAGCTTTGAGGAAGACTGGGAAGCCTGAGACATCCGGCCAACATGAAGCCTGGATCGTATTAACCTCGTGTATATCATATGGATCATATCATATGTGACATGCCATCAAATGCGGACCATTCCCACAACCCACGTCAGGCCGGTTACAGCCAAGGTCGTTGGCAAGGACCCGACAGGTAAATACTATCCCCCTTGCCAGTGCTAACCCGTCACCCAGCCTCGTCGCAGCTCACTGCGTGAATCGCCCGATTTTAAACCCCCGTGGGCGCCGCCCCCGCCGCCGCCGTAGCCGTCGATGTGCACGTCTCAGTGACCAAAAAGGTCCCCCAGCCGGTATAGCAATTCCAGCAGGGCGACTTGGTGGGGCGCACCGTAACGGTCTGTGTCTAGATGAAGACGGTCGGGCAGCCGCATGAGACCGTGGCAGGCGCTATATGTGTACGTCAGCACCTACATCCTGCTGAGAGCAGAACAAGGTAACCCCCAGCCGGATACCAGGGGCTTGCACTAGCTTTAGGGTGAAAAAGTACGAACCGTCAATGATGTAGAATTGTAACGAGCAGCTGAAAGCGCAGCCGCTAGTTGCGTAGTAGGTCTGCGTGGGCCGGAAGGTGCACGAGTCTGGGTAGCTGGTGATGGAGGAGTCGTATGTTGTGCTGGTGCTGGTGCTGTATGTGGTTGAGCTTGGGGCCACAGTTAGGGTCACCGTCGTCAGGGTCCCGCAGCCATAAGGCCGTTTGGCTGCGACAATGCTATACGGGTGCTAGTTGTA